ATTAAAATATCAAGGAATTGAATCGTTTAAAGTCTAACTTGTTTTAAACACTTAATAAGTGGATATAGAGGTATATACCTATAAAACGTATCTAGAACAAAGCTTTACCAATATCTTAACTGATAAAAATTTAACAGCCTGGACAGTACAGAGAGAGAGAAAGAGAGAGAGAGAGAGATATGTAAATGTATTTCATAGGCTATAATTCTTTTCGTCAACAATAACATATATTATTTTTATAATATTTAAAAACTTCATGATATTTCTACAAAATGAATAGATTTAATAAATCAATAAATAATTCGTAATATTATTATGAAAGGAGTAGATTGGTTACAGAAGTCAATTCTTATTATAAACGGTTACTGGGATTACAATAGTTATAACTATTCTGAAATAAAAATACGATATTTTTATTGAATTTCTTAAAGTTCTATAAAATTTATTATTTAATAACATATAAATAATAAATATATATATTATATAATTATATAAAATATATAAATATAATTATATTAATATATATATATATATATATATAAATATATTATTTATTAATATAATAATATATATAATATAATATATATAATAATATAATTATATTATAAAATAATGTTACTGTTAGATTTTAAATATGTGATCATTTACTTAAAGGATTAAATATCGTCAAAGTTGTTTTTACTTTGAACATTGTTTTTTAAATAATAATAATCTTCATCGATTTGAACTTTAAATTGAGAATGTATATATATATATATATATATACTCATATCAATATTATTATTATAATTATTCTTATTAAAAGAAAAAATGCAATAGCACGACCTATTATGCGAGTATATCCTTGGGTAACGAAATCAAATCAAGGACATTGAACCAAGGACATAAAGAGATATTGGATATATAAATGTTTAAATAAATGATTATAAATGATCTGACAGTCAGTGAAAAGATTCATATTCATATTTTAGAGAATCTGCTGATATTAACGTCTGTAAATCTCATCACTGAGAGTGCTACTTATTAGGTGCATATTTCGTTCAAAAATTACTGAGACATCTGGTATTTCAGAAGTTTGTTGAAATACCAGATTGACTTGAATGAGCCTGCTATTTGCTTGTCTTAGGTTTTTATCGTATCCTTATTGCCGCATTACAAAAAATTTTTATCCGCTGTTTCTAAGTATAGATGGACTCTGAAATATTCTGCAGAATGTTTCTATTTTGTTAATGTGGAGTCTCTCAACACAAGGTAGATAGATAACTGTTCATATAAATAAATACAAAATTTTTAATAAATAGATAATTGTTCATATAAATAAATACAAAATTTTTACTAAGTGGAGTTTGAGGTTAAATACCGTAGTACTTTATTTTTACTTCTATTAATCATTTATTTACAACTTTTTCATTTCTATCGATGTACATTGTGACCGAAAAGCTTTCGGAAATTCTCATTTAAAATTCGCGCGCTGTATATGTTTCGATATTTTAAGTTTATGTAGTTTGGCAGCACTGTCCTTAATTACTATGCCAAAAATGAGCGCGATCTGTCAGACAGTTCGTTTACGGCAGTTGTTGAAACCAGTTCACCTCAGTAGTGCGTTGCGAAAAAAACAATGGAAAAAAATATTGAACAAAGAGTTTGCATCAAATTTTGTTTTTCGAACGAAATTTCGTGTGCAGAATCGTTGCGAATGCTACAAAAGGCTTATGGGGAATCAGTTTTATCGAAAACTCAAGTTTATGAGTGGTACAAAGCCTTTCAGGACTGTCGTACGACCGTCGAAGACATGCCGCGTTCTGGACGACCTTCGACCTCTACCACCGACGAAAACATTGAAAAGGCAAAGGAAATCGTGTTCAAAAATCCTCATGTGAGTGTTAGAGAGATAGCACGAGAGCTAGGCATCGGTCGTGAGATGGCTCGTTTGATTTTGGTGGACAATTTGTGTATGCGACGTGTCAACGCCCGGCTTGTTCCGATTCACCTCAATTTGTTCAACATTATCAACGATTTTAAGGCCAAACATTCAATAAATACCATCGAACAGCCACCGTATTCACCTGATCTTGCACCGTGTGACTTTTTCCTGTTTCCCAACCTCAAATTACCACTCAGAGGAACGCGTTTTGAATCCATAGAAGACGTAAAACAGAATTCGCAGAGGGAACTCAAAGCCATACCGGAAAGCGCCTATAAAAAATTTTTTGATGATTGGAAGAAACGTTGGCATTTGTGTATCGCTTCTAATGGAGCATATTTTGAAGGAGATAAAATAAATATTGATGAAGATTAAGAATTTTGCGTTTTATTTAAAATTTTCCGGAAACTTTTCGGTCACAATGTATATTTATATTGAATATTTTTTCAAAATTTTAAAAAGATTGTTTATTTAATATTTAATTAACAGATCAATTAAGTTGGAATTTCTATTCACCATTTCATTAAAAAGTTATAAACTCTCTATATTAAAAACTGCATATTATACGACATTTAAGTGTTTTATGAGTGGTTAGTTTTTTTAATAGAAGGCACTCGTGAATGAATTGAAAGTATCTTAAATAGATCAAAAAAAAAAAAAAAGAAATATGTATACAAATGACTAACAAATTTTTGTAAAAAGTGAAATTAGGTATTTTTTTGCAAACTTTAAAGTCTCTGATCTAAATTTTTTAAAATAAAGTCATTTAATACTATGAAGCAACATCATAATTAGCAAAATATTTGTCATTATAAATAAAAAATTTTTTAATTATCTGTATCAATGATCACGAAACAGTTTTATGATATATAAAAACTATCTAAATAATAATCAAAAAAACGTTCATCATTTATTACTGCATCTAACATGTATTTGAAATTATATAGAATCTTTAAGCTGAAATAAGATAATTATAATCACTTCGATGATTATGAGAGGAAATACAAACATTTTTGGTTTATATACTATAAAAAATTATGCATTTTAAAAATGTTTTCTTTTTCAAACCACAGATTCCATTTATTAATTATTATTAAATTTATTATTATAAATAATTAATATGTACAAAAAAAATTTTATTTCCTCAACAAAATATACATTTTCATAAGAATGGATTGTATGTAATTCAGTAAAATAAATCTATAATATTAGAAAACGCCTTATAAAAATTATTGACAATTTTTTAGTTAAAAACCTGTTTTAAATCTCAATTCCAAAATTATTTTTAATCAACATTACAATTTATTTTATTTAAAGTAATTATACGTTATTATTTTAAGTGAAATTTAAAACTTAGTTAATAAACTTTTTTTAGAATTCTAAAACCTAATATTGCACTTTTTTAAAAAACCAAAAAAATTTAATTAAAATAAAACATAAGACTTTTTAAAATAAAATTTTAATTTCTATTATTTTTTGAAGCAAAAGGATTTTGAAATAAACTTTTCGAACTAAATTTATTACTAAATTACAAAATTAAACCAACGACCTTATGTGAAGTTTGTTGCTTAATTCTTCTGTTTGTGTAAAATTTTAATAATTAGTAAAATTACAAATTTTAGTTTAATTATAAATATTAATTTAAAATTCAAATTTTATGTAGCAACATAAAAGTTGAAATTTTCATATATAATGACTCATTAATATTTATTCTCAACGGAAGCAAACGTCTATTCTAGCATTCAAATTTAACTGTTCTTTGCAAAAATTTTTTATTATAAACATTGTTAATTTATTATCGTAATAAAATGTAAATAATTAAAAAAATTTGTTATTTTCATATCATTGCAAATTTTAACATATTTTTTTTTTGTTATTTTACGGGTAAAGGTGCAGACTTAAAACATGCTTTCAGCCATTTGAAGGTACAAAATTTGTACTTGAATAATTTTTTCTATTTAACATAAATATATATTATGCAAACACGCTTGCAAATGGAAAATTTAGATAAAATACAGTTTTATACATTTATACAAATATTATAATTATTAACATAATTCATTTATTAATTTATTTCTCAATTTTAGGATTTCGATAATGAGGTCCGCCATATGTATATATTTTTAATTATATGTACACATGATTTCTAATATTTTTTTTATAAGAAATTATAAGATATATTTATATCTAGTTATTTTTAAGAATTTATGCAAAATAATATATTCTTATGTGCAATATATATTTTTAAAGTCAAATAAAAACTTTTCTTAATATTGATAATATGATTATTTTTCAAATTTTAATAAGTATAATACAAATTATAATATATATTTGAGTTCCAAAATTAGCAGTTTATATATAAAAGTCACTAATTTAAACACCTTTTGTCCTCAGTTTAAAATCTACAAACTAAATATTTAATAAATTTGATTTGTTAAACCATTTTGATCAATTAATTTAACAAATATATTTACTATAACTACATAATTATAATTTTTTGTATAAAGAATATAGAAAAATATGAATTGCAAATAATTTCATTTCAAAATATTTTCTTTCTGTAATCACAAATATTTACACTATTTTTTAAATTAAGAAAAATAAAATAATTTTTTTATTTTAAAACGAATTTATATTTGTTAAATTAAATAACTGAATTTAATTAATGTTTTATAAAAAAAACAACGCAAAAAATGAACTACAAATAATTGCGTTTAAGCACAATTGCGTTTTTTTTATTTAAGCACAAATATTTACACTTTTTTTAAATAAATAAAAATAAAATAATTATTATTTTTAAACGAATTTGTATTTTTTAAATTAAATAAATAAATTTATTTAAAGTAATATAATATTTTATTTCAAAAATAACGAAAAATATGAACTACAAATAATTACGTTTTAATTCCATTTATTAATTTAATCACAAATATTTACACAATTTTTTAAATAAATAAAAAATAAAATAATTTTTATTTTTAAAATTTATTTTAATATTAATTTTATTTTTTTATTTTTATTTATTTCATAATAAGTTTTTATTAAACTCGAGAAACAAAAATGTAAATACACTTACTTGATTTAGTTCTTATTTAATTTAAATTTTATTAAATGAAAAATTATTTTTCATATAATTTTTTCTTTAACACTCAGTTCTTTATTCATAAATTATAACACAATTTATAGGTAAAAAACATAAATATAATTTAATTATTAGTATATTGCCACCGGGTAAAATATAATAAATAATTTCCGAAACAATTAACACATATTAAAAAAACAAATATCAAATTTAATATGAGAATTTATAACGATTAAAATGAAGGCGTGAAACATATAACAAACGACAGACGAACGTGCGGCTGTGGAACGTTTTTAAAAGCTTCGTGTATGAACGCCTTGAACTGCGGCAAATAAATGAGATCTAAATTGTAATTTGTATTTCTTAAAGCAAAAATCACCTGAATCACCGTCACCAACACGATCATCATCATCGTCGTCATCGTCATCATTATCAACATCAACATCATCATTAACAGCGTAAACATGTACGCCACCAACGACAACACAACAACAAGACAACAGTAGCCAAAAGTAACAGCAGCACGAACAGCATGCAACAGTTAAGAAGAATGGCAAGCAACTTTGCGAAAACGAGGCAGGTATTCGGCAAAAAATACGCTTATCGTATGTTTTCACGAAACCGACTACGTCTTGCATGCGCTCAACTCTATGAAGAAGGAGTACTAATGACATCGATTGGAATTAAGTTGTGCTAATGGTGTTGCCTACTGACGTCTGCTACGTCACTCTTAATTCTTTCCTACTTTTGTTTTGGCGCTACGGAATTTGTGTGGCAATTCTTTATTTAAATTGCTGCTTTAATGGTGCATTTATGGTTTCAAAGCAATAACATAATTGAAAATATAAATGCTCTATATATTGCAATAAATATTTTTTCAACATTAATTATATTTTTATATATTTTCTCCATATTAAATTTATTGCACTAATTTTAGTAATATTTATTTATACTTTCATATGATTTTTTCAAGGAAGTTAAAAAATATAACAAACGTTTACGGCATTAAAATTATTTTGTTCTTCCTGTGGTAGATAGGTTAGGAAGTCGTCTATTGAGTTTCATTTATTATAAATTGACACAGTTCAGCTATATTCGCCTAATGTAATACTTTAGAATCGCATTCAAATCTTAAAGTAACAAACTCTCGTTGAACTTAATAATCAATGTCTTGAAGTATAGGCTCACTGTTAAAGGCATGTACGGTACATTGGAGAAATGTCGTAATATGTGGGAGCGTCGTATTAGAGAATATGTTTGATTTCTACAATATAACTAGTGAATATAATTTATTTATTTATTTATTTAAATGCATTAAGGGACAACCCTTTTTATTGCAGTATCTTAAAGCTAATTTAAAGAATTAAAATTAAAATAAAAAATTCTGAATATAATACTTTATTTATCTGTCTCTTTGTGAAGCATCCTAAAATAATTTTTGTTGAGTGCGTGACTTTACAAATGAGAACTAAACTGTACTTCACGTCATGTGTCAGTGTCCATGATTGGCTAAAAGAAGATATTAAATCTAACCGACCTGAATAACGCTAATCCGTGATATCATAGCAGAACTTTTTTTGAGCAAAAGGCCGCCACTCTAACCTAACTCAACATTTCTGTGAAGCTAGTAGAGAGTCAGTACCCTTCTTTAGCTAGGAGAAGATCAGAAAACTTCGTGGTGCCTTTTCTTACCGTACTGACCGAGCTATCATACTGTAACATTAGAGACTTAGCTAAATTCATAGAACTGTCATTTGATACTAACCTTTTAGTCTATGTACGTACTAAAATGGGTCATTATTTAAGTTCAAGTGTACTTTTGGATACAAGGCCGCCACTTTAACATACCTACCTACCTAGTAGAGAGTAGATATTAAAAGTGTGTTATATAGCGTAACCGTGTGACATAATGCTAAATTAATGTTGACTTACCTAATGAACTTGCTGAGCTAGACATGCAATTATAACTGACATTCACATTCATATCTCCATGATTGAAGCCCTAACAAGACATAATATCTTAAGGACGAGTTTCGTATAAAAAAGCATTTACCGAAATTGCAACACATCTAGAATAAAAAAGAACACATACTATTTCAATACTGATGGCGTTGTCGAAGGCAAAAATGCAAACTAATCGTGTGAACTGATATTATTATCTGAATGAAATAAATAAACAGAACACCAAAAAAAAATCATGATAATTTTGGCCATTATTATTTTTCAATTTTGCCATTTTTTGAATAGCTTTTAATTTTAATCGGCCAACTGATTTTTGCAAAAAATTGGCTAACTTAGTTCCAACGGCTCTTCGGTCGATCGTTTTTCTACCATTCAGGGATTTTTGCAGAGACCGAAATAAATGATAGTCAAATTGTGCAAGGTCTAGGCTATTAGGCAGAGAGTTTACAATCTTCCGCTTACTAAACAGAACATCAAATTTGTATTATGTATTACATATTGAAAGGAATGGTTCTATTCCCTAATCACCCCATGAATAAGTCACTATAGTGAAAATTTACTTTAAATTTGTAGAAAATGTTAGTACTATCACATTACGGTGAAGCAGAGAACACTTGTGATCTTGTGATCTAATTTTCAGCGACTCTTAACTCAGTCAATGTTTTCAAACACAAACGTTTTTTTTGTGACCGAAATAAATGACAATCAGATTGTGCAAAGTCTGGGCTATTAGTGAGAGTACTTTCATCCTTCCGAAAATTAGGTATACTTCGCAATAAAGATGAAGCGATGGACTCGCCTACAAGTTAGACACACAACTACTGTTATATTACAACTCTACTAACTATTCTAAGAACTGGTATCGCTAAGGGGTGTCTATGCTAGTTCTTACCTAACCTAATGTAAGGTAACTTCTTTCCTTATTCGAGTTATTCGTATTTCTTTTTATATTTAAGTCCAAATTGCTTAGATTGTCAGTAAATCGTGAAATTAAACTTATATAAAATTTTTATAAAGATTACTATGATATTCACTGTTTCAATAAATTTTATTGTATTTAATTTATTTTTATTAATGATAAGTATATTCACAGAATTATGTTATACGAAAGACATACTTACGGAAATTTGTTGGCGATGTAGAGGTAATAATTGCTTGAGACCACGCATATTATTTTTATAAGTGCATTAAAATTTTTTATTACTATGAATGTAGTTTTTTAAAGCAATAATAATTATTGTTGCACTTTTATTTGTTTTAATTTTGGACCGTTGTTAATTTCCTTTTTATAGTCATTATAGACGTTTTTATCAAATGAATTTTTATGAGATTTGGAAGCTACATGGAAGATTATCATAAACTCATTTATTGTTTCACAGTCAGTGTAAACATTCCTCCACATCCTTCAACTTATACTATATAGCTTTTATTAAGAAGTTTTTTTATTATTGCTGTCTGCGAGTGCTACTGCAGTACGCGATCCAAAGTAAGGAAGATGAAATGCATTTCTGTTGCATTTTTTGCGGTCAACTGGCGACATACATATGTGCAACTCAGTGCGTTCACTGTGATATTTAAGACTCTCCTGCGGAGATTTTAAAAATACTTTTTCCAGTCATGCAAATGTAACTATTCGATTAAGATATATAAAATAGTTCTTGGTTTAACTGCTACTGTCATTGTGGTTTAAAAAAAACACATTAACCGTGATGGTATGTACGAGCTTATTAAGTATCAAATTACTGAAGAAATCATAAAATTGATCATTCTAAGACATAGTTTTATGCATAACTAAGCACAAAATAGAAGAAAATGTATACTAAACAATCTTTATGGCATCAAATTGGTTAAATTGTAGCATTTTTGATTGGAAATCAGTCGTAACTTTCACTTAAAGTAAAAAATGTTGACATAAATCAAATAGAAAGATTGTGATTTAATAGTCATAACATAAATCAATCATAATAATGTAGCTATATAAGTGATATATACTTCATATTAATTATTAATATTCCATATTCTTCTTTAAATTTAAAAGGAAAAGTATATACTTCAAGCTCCTTATGTGAAGCTAGAAGTTATCCTTATAAAATTTAATATTTGTATTATTACATTTTATTTAAAACGTTTACAAAATGATTAGATTAGGAGCTGAAAACTATTTATATATTTTATTTATTTATTTGAATTTTTAATTTATTTGTTATAGACTATTAGCATTAATAAATATTGTATTGAAATAATTAGGTAAAAGCACTAAGGCCTATTGAAACTCTTAATAAAACTGAAAAAGCTCTTTAAGTATAGGCATGGTAGCTGACTAAGATCCTGTAAAAAGTTCTTGACATGTTTTATTGACATACATGCGCTGAAAGATGACAAAGTCAAGGTTTTATTCACGTATATGCGCTGGAAGATGACAAAGAAAAGCTTAAGCAGATTCTTCCGCCACCTCACTGGTGCGATAAGTATCATTGAATCATCTTCTTGCATGGTTATCTGACCGACAATCATCTGTCAGCAAACACATAATAAAATTGATATGTCTATGGGTCATCTCAAAGAGATTGTTGGAGCTTTTGTCTGTAATGGTCGAATCCATCTTGCATTATAATATTTAGTATTATCAAATAATATAAAAAAAAACTACCAATCTTTTCAATTAAACTCCATCGAGTGCTTTATATAATTATACCACCGCTTCACTTAATGTTCGATACTTTTTTTAAGCTGATTGAAGTATGGCTTTTAAGTTCTTTAGTGAGTTTTGTTTTATGGCTGCAATTGACTAGACTAAAAAACTGAAAAAAATTAGTTTGGGCCATATTAGATCAGTACGGCGCTGGCTTATTGATATTATTTGAGTTTTTCTTGCCAAAAACATACACAACAATTGCTTTAAGCGATGCTCCGTAATTTGGTCTTCCATAAATCAGGCGTTTTGGGCAGATATATTAGAGTAAATGTCATAATTCCTATATCACGGTAATAGAAAGAACTGTCAATGATCTTGATTATGTATTTATATATCAAGGTTTATTTATCTTAATTCTTTTGATTTTCCAAAAAAGTTT